CAGTAGTTCTTGGTAGAGGTTGGGCAACAGCTGGCCTTGATCATCACCCCAGCTGACTACAGAAAGATCTCTTTTCTGTAAAAGGCTGAGAAAGATTGAGCTCCCCGAGCTGGGCAGAGAGGCAGCTGCTGAGCAGTGATCTGGAGCTGATACCGAATCCTCCCCAGACTCCCAGCACACTGGCCCTGCATACTCCTCTCAGATAAGGAAAGATGGTATTTCTCTGGCAGGAAGGACCTCACAGTCTGACCTTGAAGTACAGAAACACTGGCCTCCATTCATTTTTACTCTAGTGTGTTCCAGCCTGAAGATATGAGGGGAACTGTGTTCATAGCCTGGCCATTTTCTTTTGTTGGTAGGTGTTTAAGAATGGCTCTGCCTTCGTAGATAAGGCCTGGCACATGCAGTGTTTTGTTCTGTTGTTGAATGCAAGAGGTCTTACAGATAACAGAAATATGATTGTTTTTTCTTGGTGTAAATGCTTCTTTGTGACTTTTTTTTAAAATTAAGATTTATTTCATGTATATGAGTGCTCTATCTGCATGTACTCCTGCATGCCCGAAATGGGCATCAGATCCTATTATAGATGGTGGTGAACCCCCATGTAGTTGCTGGGAATTGAAGTCTGGACCTCTGGAAGAGCAGCCAGTGCTCTTAGTCCACTCTTTGTTAGTTATATGGTGTGGCTGGCATTTCTCTTTGAAAAACTGTTATGAAATGGAAAAGACAAAAAGAAAACCAAACATATTTGGGGGAGGGGTTGTTGTTGGTGGTGGTTGCTAAATCGCAAACTACATCTTATTTGTGTGTATGTGGTAGGGGTGGTGGGCCAAGAAGAACCCTTGTGCTGTGCCATGCATGTGGAGGTCGAGGACAGCTTTTGGGGGTCATTTCTCTCTTTCCACTACATGGAGCTTGGAATTGAACTCAGGTCCTCAGGTTTTTGCCAAGTTACAGGAGTAAGGCTGGATTGACCCATCCATGTGTATTCCAAGATTCTGTTTGAGTTGATTTTAAGGAAGTGTGGTACCAGATCTGCTTACTTCAGACCGCAACATTCTCTGTTGATTACAGTCATCTGTTTAGTGTGAAGTAATGTACCTTTCTGGTCACCTCTTTGGGAGACTTGAAGAAAGGGAGAATGACAAGAAATTGTAATCAATTCAGTGGTAAATTCCTGATTTGAAGGATTGGAGGTGTGATGGTATGAGAGCACCGAGGAAGGAAGGCACAACAGTACTTGTAAGCTCAGAGGCTTGCTTACTGGGCCAAGGTCACCGGATATGGCTGCAAGGAATTAAATTGGGCTTGAGAACAATCAGACTTCTCAGAGGTTTATCAGAACCAGATGATGATGGTAGTTGCCAGGATCAATACAATTGTTGTTGCCCGGACACAATGAAGTTTGCAAACTGTACAGGGTACATAGGATTAATGTCTAAGACCAGTTGCCCTGTTGAGCTCCCATGCTCCCTGGACTTCCAAGGGAACATAGGGAAACACAAATGCTTCACTGAACGCTTCACTGCCTGAGGGAGTGCATCGGTCTCCCAGGAACCGGAAGGCACATTGTGCCCCAGAAGCCATGTACTCTAACCTGCAAACCCTAGGACATGCCTCTCAAGGCAGCGAGGCCAGGACAATGGAAAGGTGCTGGGCAGGTGGATCAGGTGGCAGTGGTACAGACTTGTGCACATGCTGCTTTTGCTCTGGGCAGGCCCCGGTGGGAACAAAGAGAAATTTAGGAGTTGCCTTTTAAATTTTGGTCCTTCTAGGTATTAATCGCAGAGCCTCGTGCGTGCTGAGCAAGCACGGGAGCACTGAGTTACTTCCCCAGCCACATCAGGACTTCACTGTAGTCTGTCTGTCTGTCTGTCTGTCTGTCTCTCTCTCTCTCTCATTTTTCTGTTTCTGATTTTTTACCTCCTTCCAGGTGAACACGCAGGACTTTAGAGGGCTTGTTCGGGAAGATGCGGTTCTCTACCTGTTAGAAATTCCCAAAGGTGAAACTGTGACAATTTTGGCGCAGAGCCGAGCAGATGGTGAGCAAGTTTGATCATCTGTTTTATTTGAGGGAGGTGGGAAGAATGAACAAGGTATCTTGGGACCAGAATAAGCAACACTGGGGCACAGGTGTTTGGAGAAAACTTGAGTGATGCTAATTTTATATGAAAATATTACCCCTTCATCTGCTGAAATAATTTTGCTATTTGTGTGTCATTTGGAGTTAAACCGCTTTCCTCAACAGCGGTGCTTTCTCAGTCACAATGGAGTTGTTATAGAGTCTCTGTATGATGGTGGCATTTGCTCCTCTCAGCTCTGACCAGTCTTACAAGTTGCTTCACCTCTCTGGGTCCTTTCCCATAATAGGCGGGACAAGAATAGTCCCTCCCTGTTTGTGTCAGAAGAATGACAAGTAACTGTATTAGCCGGGAGGTCCCCAGAGAAACAGAACCAATGAGAAGAGATAAAGACACGTTGTTGAGTACGTGGTTGACGTGAATGTGCAGGTTGGGCGAGTACCACATTGGACAAGGCGAGCTATCAAGTTGCAGGCCTGTCAGAACCAAAGATTCAGATTTGGGGTTAGCCTGAAGGCCTGTCCTGAAGGAGAACTGCTGGTGCAGAGACCGTAGAAAGGTGGAAGAAAAGCAGACGTTTCAGCTGGAAGGCCGTCGGGTGGGAAGAGTAACTCCCTCTGACTTGACAAAATAGTCTACTCAGGCTTTCAACTGGCTGTATGAGGCCTCCTCCTTACTAGAAGGAACAGTTTGCTCAGTCCACCCTTTTGAATGTTAATTTCATTCCCCCAACACCCACTGTGTCCTCTCAGGAAAGGCCTAGGATAATGTTTAATCTATTGATTAGGCTCCCCATATACAATCAGATTGATGCACAAAATCCACCATCACGGTACTTCCGGTTAGTGTTTCATCCTTCCTCCTGTGGAGCATGGTTCTCATAGTTCCCATAATGCACTAGAAATGGAAGAACCTCGAAGGGGGCGATCTTCAGTTAAGCACAACACAGCTATCTGTGCTTTTGTTTTCCAGTGTACAGAGACATTCTGGCTTGTGGCAGGGGAGATTCGTTTTTCATAAGAAGCCACTTTGAATGTGAGAAGGAAATGCCACAGAGCCTGGCCTTCACCAGGGGAGAGGTCTTCCGAGTGGTGGATACACTGTATGATGGCAAGCTGGGCCATTGGCTGGCTGTGAGGATTGGAAATGAACTGGAGAAAGGCTTAATCCCTAACAAAAGCCGGTAACTAAAACTGCTTTCCTAAACTTACTTTTTAATCCCTTTCCCATCTAAAGGCAGAACAGCCTCTAGGGAAATCCCGTGTGGCGTCATCATTTGCCGACATCAGTTGTTTACGGGGCTAGAGCCTCCAGAGCCTCGACCATCTCAGGCTTGGTTGCTGCAGTTGATGTATTTAAGGATAGATAGCCTGCTGCCTCACTATGGGAAACACTGTGTGGCCACGGCACCTCAGCACTCTTTGTCTCCATCCTTAGGAGAGGCTTGTACACCCCAGCGGATGCTTGCTGGCGTGTGCCTATAGAAACTTCAGAATGGTGATCTGTTTGCTGCATACATTCATACTACCTTAAGAGCCAAACATGCCGATCTGTACTGAGCTACTGCTTGTGGTTGTTCGGAAATCCCATGGACTTCTCTCATCGCCATGACAGAATACCTGAGGGCGGGGGGGGGGGGGGCCGGGGGGGGGGGGGTTACAGAGGAGGGGGGGGGGGGGGGGGGCCCGGGGGGGGGGGTTTACAGAGAAGGGGTGGAGAATGCTGGTCCTCAGCTTGCTTTTTTCCTTGTATTCAGTCTGGGCCCCAGCCCATGGGAAGGTGGCATCTATTCAGGGTGGGCTTTTCCGGCCCACCCGGCGGTGTGTTTCCATAGTGATTCTAAGTCTAGTCAGGTTGACAGAGGAGCTTTTACACACTGCTTTTTCTGGCTCCACAGCCCCTTCTTTGTCTCCGTTGTCAGTCTGAGTATACCCTGGGGCCCTACATGACACTGAGTGGGTCTTAATAATAACCTCTTCCCATGCTGTGGAGAACGACTCCTTCTGGCTTTTTCTCTCAGAGCTGAGCAAATGGCCAGTGTCCAGAATGCCCAGAGAGAGAACGCTGGGGACAGAGCAGACTTCTGGCGGATGCGTGGCCAGAGATCCGGGGTCAAGAAGAACATCCGGAAGAGCCGGGAAGACCTGTCGGCCGCTGTGTCGGTTAGCACCAAGTTCCCCGCCTACGAGAAGGTTCTGCTGCGGGAAGGTGAGGCAGCTCCATGGGCCAAGAAGTGACATGCTGAGCTCTGAGCCACTTCCTCCATTGTCTCTGTAACCATAAAGTTCCAACTTCACCTATGTCCCTTATACCAGGGGTGTAGTGAAGGAATCAACAGGGAGCCTGAGTGGTTCAGGTTCCTCAATGGAGTCAAATTCTTGAAAGGGAGGAAAACGTCAATACTGACACTCAAATATGTGTCAGAGTGGGGATGTGTAAATACAGCGTCTGAGAATGATAAGTCAGGGTTCCGTAAACTGTGTGGTGGGGAGGGCAGCGAAGGCTTTTCTTTCTGGAAAGAACTGGAGTCCAGGAGAGGTGGGAGAATTCAATTTCCTTGGCTGAGTTTGCCAAAGTGTAGACAGTACATTTGCCTGTCATCTAGACAGTATAATCACAGGTGTACATCTGAAAGCCTTTTTTTTCTTCTTCTCTTTTTCAGCTGGCTTCAAGAGACCTGTGGTCTTGTTTGGCCCCATAGCAGATATAGCAATGGAAAGGTTGGCGAATGAGTTACCTGACTTGTTTCAAACTGCAAGTAAGTTGGTTCGTGGAGTTTTGCTCCCAGAGTGTTTAATTTGAAAGATGTCCAGCACACAAACTTTGAAAGAATAATGGATATTCACACAATGCCTGGAGTCATTTTATCATGTCGTCAGATACGCTTTTTCCCCACCACCTGTAGACAGACACACATCCCCCCTTTGAAACTGTCTGTTGATCAGAGTTTAAGTTCCAGGGCTCGGAGACTTCATCCCCAAGTATACACGTATTCTCATAATAAGATATTCTCTTACACAGTGACGATGCAATTGTCCCCGCAGTAACAAAGAGATTTAATATTAGTGTTATAGTTTGAATGTTGCTAATCTGAAATATTCCAAAAATTGAAACATTTTGAGTGTCAACATGATTAGCACCAGGGGGAAAATTCCAGGCTTGCTCTCATGTGAATGATCAGCATTTAAATGCAGATGTGCTAAATAAAGATGCCGCGTAAAATTACCTTCAGTCTGTGTGTACGAGATAGGGATAGCAGAAATAGATTTTTTTTTTTTTTTTTTTTTTTTGAGCAGGGTAGAGGGTACTACAGATAGGCGAGGCTGGCCGTGCAATTACTGTGAGGTGACCTTGCATTTCTTATCTTTCTGCCTTCATTTCCCAAGTGCTAGTATAATAGGAATATATTACCATGAATGAGCTGTATATTTAGACATTCGTCTCCTTTTTTTCAGATTTTTAATTATGCATATATAAATATTAAAAAATCAGTAGTATTTTTGGTCCTAGACATTTCCTTTCTTTCTTTTTTTTCTTTTTTAAATTCAGGCTCATCCATTATGGTTGGTATTTATGACTTTTTAGGACTTTTATATTTTCAGACCCATCCTTTTAGAAGGAATCACTTGGCATATACTGGTACTTAGAGAGTGTCAGTACTTTTAGGTTCACCCAGCAATTTTTTCATGATTAGATTTCTACCGAATAGGGTTGGGTTTGCAGCTAAGGTGTATGGCACTTAGCTCTTAGGAGTAAAACCCTGGTGTTTGATATGTAAAACACATGCGCACGAGCGCTCACACACACAGGTGCACACTCTTCTTGGGCGCGCGCACACCCACTCACACTCACACACACTCACGCACACATCGCTTACTGCGTGCCATGAGGTGATGCCTGTGTCGGGTGTCCCCCTGTGCTGATGCTCTGTTGGGGCATTTAATTGTCCCTGCTTCCCACGGCCATTACTTAGCCCCGCTTTTCTTTTGCAGAAACTGAACCCAAAGATGCAGGATCTGAGAAATCCAGCGGAGTCGTTCGGTTGAATACTGTGAGGCAAATTATTGAGCAGGTGAGAAGACTCATGTTGTCAGGGAACTGGACCAGGGTTTGGAATAAAATTTGCACGTTAATACGAATGATCAAAGCTCATGTCAGTGGGAGCTTTTCACTAGGCAAAGCCAGATGCTGTTCTGTGGCAGAGTTTCCATTTTAAACCAAGTAGCACTTATTGGTGCTCCCTCTCTATTGGAAGAGAATGTTATTTCAGGTGACTGAAACCACTCAGAGAACCAACCTCCCCCTCCCATATATAGGTATGTGTACACATACATAAAAGCACATTCACATGCACTACTTATACATAGGTATAGCTGTGATAATTAAATACATATATTGGCATGGTGCGAGATAAATAGTGATAACCAAAAACAGAGCTGACCAATCATAAAAATATACCAAAAAAACTTGTAGAAATGTGGCCTGTCCCCTCATTCCCACTTAGAACCCTGTACTGTCCTTACCCGTTTTTACTCACGTTGACCTCAGGAGAAACTGAAGGATGAATCCATGGACTAGGAGGGTTACTATAATCCTTCTGTAAGAAGTTTTAACTGATAATACGGAAGTGGATATAATAATGGAAAGAAATACTTTTGGCTTTTTAATTTAAATATGCAGGGTAAGGTAACGTGGCACACACCTTTAATCCCAGCACTAGGAGTCAGAAGGGAGCGGATCTCTGTGAGTTTAAGGCCAGCTTACAAAGGGACTTCCAGGCAGAGCTGTTAAATCTGGTCCAGGCTTTGCCTGGGAAAACAAACCCCTTGACGATGTTGTTTTATGTCGCCGTGTTCCATCCTTCTCCACTGGTAACAGGACAAGCACGCCCTGCTCGACGTGACCCCCAAAGCCGTGGACCTGCTCAATTACACTCAGTGGTTTCCAATCGTGATTTTCTTCAACCTGGATTCCAGACAAGGTGTTAAAGCCATAAGACAGAGGTTGAGCCCAACATCCAATAAAAGTTCTCGGAAGTTATTCGATCAAGCCAACAAGCTCAAAAAATCCTGCTCTCATCTTTTTACAGGTAGGTGAAGTTTGAAAGGTGGTTGGTCCGTGGATAAAAAGAGAAATAAGGAAATAATCTTGAGTATGGGATGCGGAATCGGGGTCTTGACTCATTGGAGAAGAGTTAATTCTATGGGAGTAGATAAATAGAAGTTTGGCATTTATACCTTAAGCTTTGGTTTTGACAACCAAAAAATGATCGTAAAGACCCAAACATTAGATTTTTGTGGTAGGGTTAAGGCTAATGACTGCATTTCCCATGTGTGTTAACTGCGTGTTCGCCGTCAGTGATGCACCAAGTGACTGTGATTGGAGCGCACTGCAGTGTTTGACAGCGCCCCCCAAACAGAAACCTGAACACTGGGAATGTGGAAGACTTAGACATTCGTTACTTCTGCTTCGTAGTTGTAATGATACTGTGGACGTGTTTTTTTCATTATTATCCTTGTCCCTTAGAGATGCATACTGAATCAGATCTTTATAAATTATCCAGTAGGCTCCCTACAGTTTGCATAGCTCACCTGCAGTGAGAGGAGAGGATAGAGAACTAACAGACTGGCCAAGCACCATGATGCAAACGTGGGTTCCGAGTATATGAAAGTTTATAGACTGGCCTCTGCTTTGTCTGCATATAAAATCTTCCAAAAAAGAGAACTGGAGTTACAGGTGGTTGTTCACAGCCATGTGGATGCTGGGAATGAAACGTGGGTCCTCTGGAAGAGCAGCCAGTGCTCTTAACCACAGGACCTTGTCTTTAGCTCCACTCACGTCCTTTGTGGTGTGTGCTGGGTGAGAAGCAGAAAGTGTAGAATTAAAGCTGGAGGTGGGCGTGGATGGACGCTGAGGGTTGAAGTTCAGAGTCTGATTCATACCAGCCATGCCTGTCTGATCGTGAGCCAAGTAGTCTTTAGGACAGAAGGTGCGTGGTTATTGATAGAGTGCCCCGAGAAGCCCTGTTTTCATGCAGCTGTCTTTCATACGGTTCTTCCAGACTTTTAAGCTTGACTCCTGAAAGTTGTGTGGAGGCTGCACCGAGCCTTTTTATTGCTCTTTCACCTCAAGTCTGTCCACAGACTTGTGCTGTGTCTGAAACACTGGTTATTAACTCTGATCAGCAGAACCAGGAGCAGAAGTATCGTTTTATTTCCCATGGCTTTAATGCACGCCAGCTTTATGAACTGGTAAATGGGAATATCGCATTTGCGTTGGTGAGCACAATTTAAAGTCATGTTTTCTGTCGTATGTGGTCTGGTTGGGCTCAGTATCCTACTCCCTGTTTCTTATTAATATAGTAATAAGAAATTTTTTCTACAGATGAGATTTTAAATATGACAATATTAAGACCTTTTCCATTATGAGCTTGATATACTCATTAAGATACTTTATTCAGAGACTTGCTCAAAAGCAAGTTGGCTTTTCAAAATAGTTTAAAATGTTATAGCTGTATACCCCTTTGTCAATGGAAATATTTAATGTAGAAACATTTATATATATCATAAAAATGAACTTTGAATTGTATGTGTTCTTAGGACTTTTGAAATGCTCAGTTCATGGTTTACAGACTGCTGAGGTGCCCTTACGGACTTAGAGATCCAAGCTATAAACTGTGGCATGTCAAAGCACCATGCAGTGGTTTGGCTATTTTATCTCCTTTCCAGGCATCATTAAAATGAGGATTTTGTGTCTCAACCCTGGAATTTTGGAAGAGCTTACAAGTGCTATTACTGTATATGTCATCTTTCTAATCATATTATATAAAACTGTTTTATTCTATATGGCATTTGTTTGAGGGAAATGAATCTTGTACCTAAGCTGAGAAGAATCCAAAGTGCAGAAGGTGATACTGGAATTCGTAGGAGAGTGCAGGAAATGTTAAGGACAGGGAAGAAATGGGCTAAAGGGTGGCTTGCGTATTTAGCTGCTCTCTGGCATGTGAGTGTTAAAGTGGTCACAGAATTGCCTTCCTGAGATGAAATTTGTGTACTATTCCAGTGAGCTATGTGCAGGGCACAAGTCAAGTGGGTTTAGATCCTTCAGAGTTGGTGGAACCATCGCCACAAGAACTTCTAGACATTAGCAATCTTTAGACATGAATCTAGACATTCATCCATTAGCAATCTTTCCAACTTTTTCCCCTCCCTTCCAACTTAGGTGCCTTTTGGTGCCTCTGTGACTCGGAGTCGGAAGGTACTGCCACACATGCCAGGGCTGGCCAGACCTGCCCTGAGGGTATGAGAATGCTAGCGGGGACATTGGCAGCAGGGGGATGCTTTCAGAATTTCAGTTCCTTGAGTTTGAAAGTCATAATAAGCCTCTTTGAAAAGAGTCAAAGTGCATGGATACTACCTCTGAGTGGGGCCAGAAAGTTCGTTTCTATGCAATTTGCACATCAGTGTTCCAGCAAGTTTCATTGCCAGTGAAACTTGGGGTTTTGTAACATTTGTTTTGGCAGGGGACACAAATGTGTCTCCTACCTTTCTGAGAGAGACCCTTTAAGTTTTCTTTGTGACAAATCCAGACTTTACCAGACAGCCGCTGATAGAAAGCTGTAGGAGCCACTTAGGATTCTTTATACGTCTGTAAGTCACTTGTTTGGTCCCTGTCGTGCACAGTCTCGCTTCTGATTTACATCTTGGACCATATTTTAGCTATGATTACAATAATGTCTGTGAAGTACCATGATAAATAAGGACCCAAGAGAATCCATGACATCAAGGTTAATTTCCTTGGGCTGCCAGTATATCCATTCAGTCTGATGCTGTAAATAATTAATAACAAGGAAATTGTAAGCTCATTCACCATCTTCCAAGGTCATGGATAGAAACTTTTTCAAGTTTTTGGGACAGGGTCTCATGTATCCCTAGGCTGACCTCACATTTATTGTAGTCAGTGATGATCCTGAACCTCAGATTCCTGCCTCTGCCTCCCACGTAGGTACAGACATACATCTGATTACAAGTATGCATCATCATACCTGGCTTCAAGATTGGAATTCCTTAAATGAAGGAAAGTCAAATTTAATGAAAGAAAACTTGAAGCATAGTTACTCAGAAAATTTATGTAATGGTTTCTGTGTAAGGGTTCATTTAGCTTTAGAAATGATAGATACCACAGGCCCTCTGATAAAGAGCCATGAAAGCATAATTTAAAAAGCAATTCTAGTTTGTCTGCACCCTGATCATTTGCATGGTAGATAATTTTTATATTAATGCAGTGCTTATTGTGTGCGTGTCTGTGAGTGTGTGTTAATGGCCATCAGGCTGGCTGGCCATTGAGTACCCTGGATCTCTGAGTGTTCACTTCCAGTGCTGGGCTTATAGGCACACATAGCTTCTTTGAAGGGAATTTGAACTTTTGGTCCTCCTGCTTTCCTAGCAAGTGTTCTTAGCCAGTGAGCTGTCTCTCCAGTCTTTCCAGCTGTTTAGACTATTTAGATCCACCTTACTGTTTGGAGCAGTTTTGCTTGCTCAGTTTATCTTTAACATCAGTAAGTACAGACTGTTGAAGGCCAGATGCATGCCAGGTGTCTGTCTGCATCTTATGTCTGCTGCAAGTCAGTGTCTTTACATGGCCCAGGCAGCAAGCTCATAAAATAATGTTCCACGTTTGTACTCGGGTTTTTTTATTTGCTTGGTGTTAAGTGTAAGGCTCTTCTTCATTTCACTACTTGTCTTGTTGTTTTTCCCTTTTCTGTGCTAACAATACGCTGACAAAAGCAGCTCAAGGGAAGAATAGACTTACTTAAGCTCACAGTTCAAAGAACATTCCATTTTATCTGTGCTCTTGAAAATGTATTTTATTTTATGGAAGGGGCTATGACTCAGTGGTAGAATGCATATGTGGCATTTGGGATGACATGAATTCTGTTCCTAGCATTGTAAGCAAACACACACACACACACACACAAACACAGAGAGGGAGAACAGTTTCATAAGAAATATTTATAGTGAAATAAGCCCATAGAGTCTATAATATAAAGTAAAACACCTTTAGTTGGATTCAAACAAAAGGATTTTGTGCTTAAATAACATACAGACTTATGATTTTGGCAAACTTTTCTTCAAATATGGCATAAATAGAAATCACAACAATAATAAGTAGAATAAAGGTTGCTCTGGAAACCCATACTGACCTTTTTGCTTGTATTTCTGTAGCTACAATCAACGTGAATTCAGCCAATGATGCCTGGTTCGGCAGCTTGAAGGACAGCATTCAGCAGCAGCAAGGGGAAGCAGTCTGGGTCTCTGAAGGAAAGGTATGTGGTCTAGGTTTGCTGCTGTGAGGTGAGGGTCTTTGTTCTTGATGCTTCCTCAAGAGGGCAGTGAATGTAGTAAACCATGAAACAAAAGGGATTCAGCGTGTTCATCAAGTCTGGGCCTCTATAATTCTCCAACAAAGTAACAAAATGAAGGGACTTTGCAAGGCAGAACTCATGGTGCTGGCCTACATTCACTTCCCCTGTACTTTGAATGTAGCAACTAGAATTGCATTCCAAGTTCTCTAATCAGAGCTTACAAGTTATCGTTCCTAACGCCACACCGCACTAAAGACATGGGAAACTTGGAGTGGAGACGAGAGGCAGGTTGAGAACCATGGGTAAAGCAGGTTAAAACCACACCAAGAGAAGAGTGCTGACAGCTGGCATGTGTGCTCGGTAAAGAGGAGGGTGGAGAACGCATCCCGCCTCTGAGTCTGAATAGGTGATGCGAAAACACTGGTGACCTTTCCTAGCCCTCTCACATTGGATAGCATCTCAGTCTTTAGAGATACAGAGCACACAGGTATTCTGTGGGAGGGAGGAGAGAGTCAAGAACCTGGGGACCCTTCATACCAGGAACCTTTCCTCCGGCTAAACTGAAGGAGCTGATGAGCCTTCAGAGTGAATGGTTTCTTTTTGTTTGTTTGTGGGTTTGTTTTTTTTTTTTTTTTTTTTTTTTGTGGACTAGACTCTCTTGCTTTTTGGAATCTAGTTGTTGACACATCAGCCAAATGCTCAGAGTCTTCACCACTGCCTGGAGAGGACAAGTTGAGCAGGGTGTAGCTTTTGTCCTCAAGGTTTGGAGAATTTTTTTTTTTTTTTTTTTTTCCTTTTTGGAAATTGAACCCAGCTGCTTCTGAGCAATATCCCAGCCTGGGTCTGAGAGTCTTGGAAGTGAGTAGATATGTACGTAGCCCAAGGTAGAGACAGGGTCCAGCAGAAAAGCTGGAGAGGAGCTGATCCTGGAAGCCCAGCAAAGCAAGGCAGCTTGGCTCAGCTGGCACACAGGATGGACACTAGCCAGGACAGAGTTCAGGTCTTCAGTTTGTGTCTGTGCAGAAGTTAACCCAGCATCAGCATCAGATCAGAGCCACGTGCTGGCAGGAAACTAAAGGTCCCTTCCCTTGCTAGCACATGTCAAGGTTTCCAACACTTGGCTCAGCCTTTGGGAGTTGTCTTGAGTCCCCACTCCCAGGAGCCATGGCAGATCCCACTCACCCTTCAAAACAAATTCCTCTAGATGGAAGGGATGGATGATGACCCTGAAGACCGCATGTCCTACTTAACCGCCATGGGCGCGGACTATCTGAGTTGTGACAGCCGTCTCATCAGTGACTTTGAAGACACGGACGGCGAGGGAGGCGCCTACACTGACAATGAGCTGGATGAGCCAGCTGAGGAGCCCCAGGTGTCTTCCATCACCCGCTCCTCGGAGCCGGTGCAGCATGAGGAGGTGAGGCGAGGCACAGCACACCTGGGCAGCTTGCTGCAGGCTGTGAGGGTGATGTAGAAGGTATCTGCAAGGATTGGGGCTAAGGACCGCTAGTAAGGCACACTCTGAGCCCATGCCTACATGGTTGTGGCTGTGGTCCATGGAGAGTGGAGCCAGAACGTGACATTGGAAAAGGTTGAGTGGCAGCTTTCACCACTCTCTTGTGTTTAGGAGAGAATAGTCGGCTTTATGTGCCAACTGCCCAAATTACAAATGGAAATTTATGAGTACATTATTGCTGTATTTGCTTGTAACCTTTGATTAGGCCTCTCTCTGTACTCTTAGGAGCCCTGCTTTTCTTCTCCCCTCAACCTTTAACCTTCTAATGTTATCCGGGTTCCTGAGTGTTTCCCCATCAGTTTCCTTGTCTCTGGATTTCACTTTTTAAATGCACTTCATTCATCTGGTCAGGTGCACTGCGTATCCCCTGGGTTACACAGTCCTACAGACGATCAGTGGGCATAATTTAGGTCAAGTGACGATTGTTTGCACCTCAGAGAACACTGGAATGATGATCTTTGTGGACAAGATTGCTTAAGCACATTTGGTGGATAATTATTATGGACTGCCCTTCAGCAGGTTGCTCATTTTTGTCAATGAACAATGAACTATCAGTACTCAAAAAGAAATAAACCAAGAAAAGTCTACCACGCATACACACCTCATATACAGTAGATTAGTAAAAAGTTCCTGTTTACACACATAGAAAGAGCTAAGGCTTAGAAATACTTCTGGTTATGACAAAGACCTTTAGATTTTAGGAGTGTTGGGTTTTGTTTCCCTTCCTTCTATTAAATGTAGAGCCTAGTGCCTAAACTCAGGCAGTTTAGTGAACTGTGCCCTAAGCTTGCACTAGGAGAGAATGATTGATGTCTTTGTTTGCAGCAAGCGAGAGCTGCCTTAGCTGGTCAGCTTCTTGATTTCTACAAGGTTTCAGAAATCAGCAGAGCGGAGTCCTGTCTTCTCTCTACTTAGGTGCCCTTGCTGTGAATGAACTTTTGTGTTTTATAGAGCATAAGGAAACCCAGCCCAGAGCCACGAGCTCAGATGAGGAGGGCGGCTAGCAGAGATCAACTTAGGGATGGTAGCCCGCCCCCAGCATTCAAGCCAGAGCCGCCCAAGGTATGTGTCTGGGAAGCCTAGGATGGGAAGAGGATACAGGTGCCTTGGAGCTCCTGGGAAGCCAGGGAGACATGCATGCTGAGACGCTGGTGGACCGTGGACATACTCGGTTAGAGCCTGTCCTTCAGGTAGCTGAGTGAAACTGAAAACCAGGGAAGTGTGAGAGACAGGCCCGAAAGCCACTAGTAGGAAAGGGTATGATTTTAGGCTTCACAGAGAATTCAGAATTTAGTTTTTTTTTGCTATTTTTGTATTTATGAGTTGAAAAGGTCAAATGCTGCATGCCAGAATCACTAATCTCCACTTTTTCTATCCAGTCAATGTTTTCTGCCTACAGTCTAATTTGGATGCACCAGAGGATCCTCACTGGTTTTCCTCATCTTGAGGAAAAATGAGCATTGCTGTTGTGCAGAATGCCTCTCGCTGTAAAAGCATCTAAATTTATTGAATTAACAAATTACTATCTAGAAGAGAATCAACAGTAGGGCTCCAGGGTGTGTGTCACGCCCCAGATCGCAATCAACTTGTAGCGACAGGCTTTTCTTATAGCCCAGTAAGATTTTTTTTCTAACTTGATAATTTAGATGAGAAGAAAACAATGACCGTGGAAGCTGTCAGCAGCAAATTAGTGGCTTTACATAACACAACACTAACGGCCTGCAGCGGGGCTGGCGTTTGAAAGTGAAGGAGCAGTGGCTGGTGGCATGGTGTCCCGCCTGCCTTACCCTGACTCCAGCTCAGCCTCACCACTCCCACAGCCAAGGCCCCACTTTATAGCCCAGGCTCTTGACCTTAGAGAACCCTTTTTCATTTCCAAAATTGATTTCCTCTGTGGTCTTCTGTGAGAGTCCAATCTTCTCCGCTAGGACGTGGGTCTGTTCTACCTTGACCCAATGCCGGCCATCGGCCACCCCACCTCTGCCTGTAGTTCTGCCACCCTCAGGTAGGGATCAAGATGCCCAACCGATGGCTGTTTGCCTTGTTGTATTTGGTTCTTTGTCAAGATGGTTACATTGCCCACCTTTGGAAACTGATCAGGAAACACGATGTATTAAATCACTAATGTAGTTCTGAAAAGAGACTAAAAGCCCAAGGTCAAAGGCATGCTGTTGCTCTTTGCAGGCCAGAAGCCAGAACAGAGAAGAATTCTACGACTACTCCAAGTCGAACCTCTCTGCCACGGCTGGTAGTGAAATGGGGGGATCTACCAGAGGCTGTCCTCCCCCCGTTGCAGCGAAGCCTTCCTTTGGGCGATCCATCCTGAAGCCTTCCACTCCGGTCCCTGTGCCTGAGAGTGAGGAGGTGGAGGAGAGCACCGAGGAGCAGGAAGATGCTCCCAGATCCGTCCTGGGCAGAGTGAAAATATTCGAGAAGATGGACCACAAGGCAAAATTACAGAGGATGCAGGAGCTCCAAGAAGCGCAGAATGCGAGGGTAATTGTTTTAACCTCCCTGAGCATCTTCGGTCGCCCCAGGGAGCGTTTTTCCGATACTTGCTCTAGAGTAGCAGCTCACACCCCTTTCCCGCTGCCAGCATCCTGCCAGGCACAGCCACTCGCCTGGTCTCTGTACTACTTCCCCATTGCTGGCTGTCAGCATATCCTTTCTGCTTCCCATCAACAAAGACTAACAGAAGTGGGTGTGGTGGTGCACGTGTTTAATCCCAGCACTTGGGAGACAGAAGCAGGTGGATATTTGTGAGTTTGAGGCCAGTGGAAGCATAATCCACAAAGTGAGTTCTGGGACAGTCGAGGTTATACAGAGAAACCCTGTCTTGGAAAATTAAAAATAAACAAGCAAAAACTGGAACTGTAACAATCCAGATGAGCAGGATTCGACTCCATGCTGCATGCTTGTGGCCTGGTCTGGGCCAGAGAGTGAGGGCTGATACCTCTCAGATGTTATTTTAGCTGGAATATAGGTGATGATTATTTGGTCCTCAACCTTTTATATGTGCCCAGATTTGCCATAGGATCCTGGCAGCCATTGGGCCTGGGAGCTGTCAATTTTTAGCTGTTAGAACGGATGAAACGCATATGAGACATTTTAGTATCAAAGAACCTGAGTGATTCCAGAAGTGGGAGCATCACTGTAGTCCCAGCAGGCTGAACCCAGGGCAGGAGAAGCACTGAGCCCAGAAGTTGGACATTAGCCTGGGTAACACAGTGAGACCTTCCCTCAAGAGCAGGGATGGATGCAGGACAGGCTTTCTCCTGCCCGCCCTCCTGCTCTCCTCGAGACCTTCCTGATGTTGTCCCGAGGGACCCAGATACAGGTCATTTTACAGCTCAGTCTCCTGAGTAGTTGGGACTACAAGTACTACTTAATATAAAATGTACCATTGCAGCTGTTTGTAAGAGGACAGCTCAGGAACTTTCCCAGTTCCCAAGTGAAACTGCACCCATCTGACAGTGATCCCCATTTTCTCCCTCCAGCCTTGGCCACACCATTCCACTGCATTCCCTTCTCCCAACCTCGGCCACACCATCCTATTCCTTTCCCTCCCTCCAGCCACCACCACAGCATTCTATGGTCTGCCTCTCTGAATTTGATGTTTTCGGAGCCTCACGGAGGTGAGGTCATACAGTACTAGTTCCTTTGGTCAGCTTACTTTAGTATCTCAGGGCTCCCCGTACTTTGTTCCTCACCATTTGGCACGTTCCATCAGCCACCACCCAACCGTGGAAGCAGGCACGAATCTGTTTCTTTGTCTGGAATAAACTGGGAGGAGGTGGTAGGATGTGGGGACAAGGTAGGGTCTGTGGGTGACCAGCAAGAGAACCATTCAGTGGCCCTTTCTCTCCTTCTGTTCCCTTACTGCCTCAGATTGAAATTGCGCAGAAGCACCCTGACATCTACGCGGTTCCTATCAAAGCCCCGAAGCCAGAAGCCAGCCTGCCCCCTCACATGAGGTAAGGACCGTTTGGTGGATAGGCCAGCAGCTTCTCCAGCATTTGAAGAATGTTGGAGTGCTAAGAATTTCCTTCCCAGGCTGACTGTTTACCTTACCCTGTTAGTCAGACTTAACTCTTACGGTGTGCGATAGTGGTGCACCCCTTTGAGCCCAGTACTTGGGAGGCAGAGGCAGGTGGATCTTTTGTGAGTTTGAGGCCAACCTAGTCTGGAACAGAGCCAGTTCCAGGATAGAAAAAACTCCACAGAGAAACTCTTGTCTCACAAAACAAAACAACAACAACAAAATTTATAAAATCAAAAGCTAGGCAGAGGCAGGACAGCCAGGGCTATGTAGAGAGACCCTGTCTCAAAAAGGTAACTGAATCAGAAGTTTCTGGGCATTTGCCTTGTGTGCCCAAATACCCTCTGGCACATAGGAGCTTATATCATGTTAGGAGGGCACATGAGTAGAATTCCTGATGCTTAGATTTCTTTTGTCACTAAAGTCCACTAGCTCGTAGGCAAGGTCCTTAGTTCCTTTGTATCAGCATGCACAGTCAGGCCACTTGTGCCAAACTAGGTCTGAAGGACTGTGGCAGGCAGTTGGCTAGCCTAGCATTTTAAGTGCTGAGCAAGCACTAGGCCTCATCGGTGTCTTCCTGTGGCCATCTCGTGTTTAGTCGTTTCCCACTTCAGGTAGCTGGAGCCCTGTTTTAAAGCACTGAAAAACTGGAGTCGTGTAGATTACTCTTTGAATGAACACAGTTGGCCCTGACAGAGGAAACTCAGTATAATTGACACAGGAAAGAACTCTCTTCTGAGTGGGGAGCTGTGGGTAGGAGCATGGGAATGCAACAGGTATAGTCTTCCTGTGTTAGTTCAGGCAATGTATGGCTGCCCAAATAGGCCATGGCCTTGACCCATATATCTCTTCCCCTACCATCCTGTGAACTGAAGAGGGACCAGCAGAGCCCGGGCTGGTGTAGAATGTGCTCAGGGGTCATAGCTTCAGTGACCCCGCGGGCAGCCAGACGAGATGGGCTGTGTTTACCACCCTCTTTTTGTTAGTTCTAGACCCCCAGAGCCACAGAAAGCTCCTTCCAGACCTTACCAGGACACCAGAGGGAGCTACGGCAGTGACCCCGAGGAGGAGGAATACCGGCAGCAGTTGGCCGCGCACTCAAAGCGTGGCTACTACAGCCAGCCCTCCCGGTACCGAGACACGGAACTATAGGTGTCTGCGTGGACTCCTGTGAGGCCCCCTGGAGATCTTCTCCAGCTGAAGTGCACTGCAGAGAGACGGTGGGGACCCTGGGACCCCAGCAGCACCAACCTAAGGCTCTGTTCGTGGGACTGGAGTAGAGTTGATTATGACTTTTTGCTCAGAATGAAGAGAAACACTGCAGTCTGATACTGTTACTTGCTTTGGTGCGGACCAAAATCTGTATTAATCTCTGTATTTTTAATATGTATATTAAGGAGCAATAACTATTTTTCTTCATTCATAGCTGCCTTCCAGTACTGCTTCAGTGTGAAGCAAATGTGAAAAAGGAGTTAAAAAAAATACTCCATCTCAAACTAAATTCAGAAGTATTTTATTACAACTCTCTAAGTGCCTTTGACAAGATGTGTCTTAAGTTTCCTTCCCTGGAGCTTTATGCAGAGCTATAATGGACTAAATCTTTATTTTGACTAAATTTTTATACCAGTTTAGGAGCTTTAACTGCCCTCCTGCGCCATGCCGTGTTTTTAGGGCATTGTCTGTGTAGTATTTTCCGTAAATTCCGACTGTACATAGATAGGACAGCGACACTTGGTAGTTTGGCTGTCATAGCTTGGAGGCCAGGAATTGAGAGTTTTTGTTGTTTGTCTACAACCACGTGCGCTATAAAAGCAGATACTTGAGAAAAGGGTATTTTATTTCCTTTATATCAGCGTCTGTACTGACATCAAGCTGTTTTATAATTTAATAAAAAGGAGTCCATTGGTAGTCAAGAATGAGCTCTGTGGTGAATCCTTCCTTTTCGGGCAGTGTTTGGGTGGGGCCCATGGTCGTCATGCCTGCAGAATGCTGCTCCTCCACTGAGCCTCACCCAGGCCTTCCTGGTTTAAGCCACTCTTTTTAAGGGATTTTTAAAAATTGCATAGGAATGGTTTTTTTTTTTTTTTTTTTTTTTTTTTATTCCTCCCTTTTCCCCCCCTTTGTTTCTGGGTGCCTGCAAAAGTCAAGGGGGGCCTAAAACCCCCCCCCCCCCCCACAACTATGTGGGTGCTGTGGATCAAACCTGGGCTCTCAGCAAGAACAAGTGCTCCACACCACCGAACTGACCATCTAGTCCCTCCTCCCTTGTTGTTGACGACACGAGAGAGAATGTATCCTTAAACACTGGGAAATAGAGACTTGTGAAGAAGGAGGTATGACTGTTACAGCCCTGATCATTCTCAGGCATTTCCTCCAGTTACATCCTCAAGCCTGTCTGTCGTGTGTCTGAGAGGGATTCCTGGTGCTGTGCTGGGTTTGCGCTTCTGTTCCCTATTCTACTTCACATCTTACCAAGAACTCCTCCTAGCCGGGTGCGGTGGCCCATGCCTGTAATCCCAGTATTCAGGGAGGCAGGAGCAGGCAGATCTCTGTGAGTCCGAGGCCATCTTGGTCGAAGACAACCAATGATACACAGAGAAACCCTGTCTTGAAAAACCAAAATAAAATAATGATGTTCCTCTCACAGTGAAGAACTCTGCCTGCCCATCATGACTGATCACTGTGGACTAATCTTGCCCCTGTTTCCTCAGTGAACACTTGGCCACTAGCTGTTTTGATTATGCCCATTTTTCCTCTGTTGCGTTAGATGTATCCTTTTTATCCAAGCTGTGCTTGTGCGCCAGCCTTGATCTCATCAGCCCTCCTGCAGATGGATTCTCAGAAATGGAATTAGCAAGAAGAGGAGGTGGGGTATTTTTAAGGCCTGTGTTTACTACTAGAGTTTGCTTCCTAGAAAAGCTCGTTTATTTCCACATTCACTCTTGAGAGCAGAACAGGTGTAAAATGTAAATGTGACAGTTTAGGAATTAAAGCTCAAATGCATCAAAAGTACGCTGTATTTGGGAGAGGAAAACTGAAAAGGGATGGGCTCGGTTAAGGGTCCTTTATGTTGTGTGCACTAGTAAGCTGAAGTTTTGGTGAGCTAGAATTGGGGCTTAATGAATTACACTCTAAGCTTGTGCTTTTCCGTGCCTAAATATCTGGGTGCTATGTCTCCAAGCCGACTATTACTGTAGCCTGAATTTCTGAGCAGTCTTCAAGGCAGTGACTAAAGATGCTCCGACCATTAACAAAAGCCACCAACTGTGAAGAGCTCAAAGTGTACATTGCTTAAACCCGGGATTCTATCCTCCTTAAAATATAGGAGCAAGCATGCAGGAAACCCACTTAGGGACAGTGAGGAGGCTTCCCTGCAGGCATTGGTACAGGCTGGTATCAGATGCATTACCTGGTGTAGACAGCCAGCGTGTCTGGTCCCCGGAATGACCATCAGGCCAGTGACTGCCAGTGTTCCTCCATCACTTTTCTCTTCATATGTTGCTTTGTTCTGAGGACTCCCAGCTCCCCACAGCAAATTGCAGTCATGAAAACAGTGGTGCTAGATGGATGAAAAAAGGGGAGACGAGCGTGAGATGAGGGAAGTGAGCTTCATGTGAGAGTGGCATTCCCTCTGTTGTGGCTCCTTAGGTCTTCAGATTCAGATGGGGAGTTTCCACACGGCAAATATAGACCACGGTTTGGTGGGTGGGGTAGTGATTTTTATTTATTTTGTCTTTTGAGACATCTCACTCTACCATCCAAGCTGTTCCGAAATGTCGGCTCTCCTGCCTCAGTCTCCTGAGTGCTGGGGTTCTAGGCACATATCACTATGGCTAGCTTGGTCTGTTTCTCACTGTGTTCTTTCATTGAGGGTAACCACTGAACCATCTCTCTCTAATGCATAACATTTGAAAAAAAAAATCCTGAATGTTTTCAATCTGTGGTTTGTTGGATCCCAAGATAGAGAATGCATAGACACAGAGGATCAACTGCATGCACCACGCTATCTCTATTTCCCATTCCAACTCAGCTAAACTACAGCACTCCTTGAAATAAGGGCCTCAAGAGATACTGGCTTGTTTTATAATTTAGGAATTTTCCCAGGGAGGGAAAGGGTTATTTCTGTGTGTGTGTGTTCAGAATGCTGGCTGCCCTGTGGCTGCATGGATGCTATCCCACTTCTTGGCTCAGGAAGGCAGTAAAAGGTAGCGGCAAGAGATGAGCAAGAGTGGCCAAGCATGGCCTCACACATCTACACGGCTTTGTGAAGGAGGCTGGGCAGGGCCTTGGTGTAGAACAGTACCCACTCGGCTCCAGCCTGCTGCTACTATGAAAAGACATGTGTCCAGTACTACCCAATCTTCCATTAAAAACAAAAACAAAAACAAAACAACAACAAAAAAAACAAACCTATTATCTAAAGTCTGATTTTTCAGTAAAAAACAAAACAAAACAAAAAAAAACAAAAAAAAAAAAAACAACATTTTTTTATAAAAGCTAAAGAGATGAGTCTGTCATTAAGACTCTTTTAGAGGACCCAGGTTCAGTTCCCAGCGCTACCTAGTGGCTTGCTAGCTGTACTCCAGTTTCAAGGGTTTGACATCCTCGTCTTGCCTCTTCATACACTGCACACATGTGCACAGACGTGTGCAGGCAAAACACCCATATGCTTAAAAGCAAAATGCATCTGTAGAATGTTTTTGTATTTCTCTTGCGGATATATGTGAGCCCACATTTGAGCTCTGGTGCACACGTGAGGTCAGAGGAGAGTTTGTGAGAGTTGGTTCTGCGTGGGACCCAGAGGTAGATCGTGGGTTATCAGATTTGGCAGCAAATTCCTTTACATGCTGAGGCATCACAGCAACCCTTCATTACAAATTTCATTATTCCACGTAGGCCAAGAAATACATGTTCATGAACTAGATTGGGGCTGTTAAAAAGTAACTTTGCCATTTTGGTTTTTGTTGTGGTGGTTTTGTTTGGTTGTTTGTTTTTTCCAGGCAGGGTTTCTCTGGGTAGCCTTACTTGTCCTGGACTTGCTTTGTAGACCATGCTGGCCTTGAATTCACAATGATCAGATGGTTTCTGCCTCCCTAAGCGCTGGGATCAAAGGTGTGAGCTACCATGCCTGATTACTTTTTGGCATTTTATAAACTATGTTCTTTAAAGCACATTAATGCTTTACAATTTCTTAAAGGAGAAAACTGTACAATAGGTTCAATAAACCATTTCAACAAACCCTCTAGAAAATACCTGTACATGAGGAGAGAGGAAATTAAATTGAGAAGCCAGAAACTACATTGAATCCTACTATGCATGGCTATAGACCAAGGCAATGTTTCAGCTCAGGAAATCTCAAACTCTAAAGAATCTTGAAAGAAAGAGAAAGAGAGAGAGAGAGAGAGAGAGAGAGAGAGAGAGAGAGGAAAGGAAAGGAAAGAAAGAAAGAAAGAAAGAAAGAAAGAAAGAAAGAAAGAGAAAAGAAACTGAACATCTCAAAAACTGATAAAAAGTAATAGTCCACAGTGCCTAGGTCTATCTACAGAGGTACACAGTAAATATTTTTAATTAACATCCCTTCCCGCTAAAATCCAAAGGTAAAGAATTGATTTCCTTTAAATGAGCCACAGAATAGTGTACGATTATTCAGTATGACTCACAAAAGGATGGATATGGATGGATGGTATAAATATTGATCCAAGTTCCCAGACCTAAACACTGATGTGCAGAATTTTGTCTGAAAGACGCAAATAATTTAATCTGGTGGAACAGATACTTACAGAGGTTTTCAGTTACTGCTCTGTAGGTCATCAATAATCTGGTATGTTCCTCAGAATTCACATGCCAAATTTTTGTTTTGTGTTCTTTCCGATTATCTTGCGTATGAGTGTCTTTGTGTACACGTGTGTATGTGCACTAACTCATCTGTGCCTGGTGCCAGCAGAGGTCAGAAGAAGGGGTCAGATAGATCTCCTCCATCTGGAGTTATGGGTGTTTGTGAGCTGTCCTGTGGGTCCTGGGAAGAGCTCTAGTGTCTTTAACCACTGAGCCATCCTCCCATACCCGAATGCTATTACCTATCTTAGCTCCTCTGATTTCTAATATCTTAACATCTCACAAGTCCCCTCAGAATGAGGTAAGTAAAATCTTTCAAGTGTCTAGTTTATTGGTGCAAGAGAATCCTAACTCTCTCTAGTCTCATGCTCTTCCTCCTCTTTCTCCGTCTGCCTAGCACCACTGTTTTCAGGATTCCAACACACTGTGGGGAGCTTGGAGTCCTCAGAACAAAGCAACATATGAACAGAAAGTGATGGAGGAACACTGGCAGTCACTGGCATCGATGGTCATTCTGGGGACCAGACACTGGCTGTCTTTCATTAAATTTGACTTTCCTTCAGTTAAGGAATTCTAACCTTGAAGCCAGGTATGATGATGGTCACTTGTAATCAGATGTATGTCTGTACCTATGTGGGAGGCAGAGGCAGGAATCTGAGGTTCAGGATCATCACTGACTACAATAAATGTGAGGTCAGCCTGGGGATATATGAGACCCTGTCCCAAAAACTTGAAAAGATTTCTATCTACGACCTTGGGAGATGGTGAATGAGCTTACAATTTCCTTGTTATTAATTATTTACAGCATCAGACTGAATGGATACATTGGCAGCCCAAGGAAATTAACCTTGATGCCATGGATTCTCTTGGGGCCTTATTTATCATGGTACTTCACAGACACTATTGTAATCATAGCTAAAATATGGTCCAAGATGTAAATCAGAAGCAAGACTGTGCAAGACAGGGACCAAACAAGTGACTTACAGACGTATAAAGAATCCTAAGTGGCTCCTACAGCTTTCTATCAGCGGCTGTCTGGTAAAGTCTGGATTTGTCACAAAGAAAACTTAAAGGGGCTCTC